GATTTCATTCATCTTTCAATTCATGTATACATAAACCATGCAAATGTTCTTAATATTAATTGATATTGTTTTTAGCAAGTAGACTTGAATAGTTTCTATTATAGTGTTTGTTGATAACATAGTTTCAGCCATTAAATATGTATACTCTCTTGCATTATACATGAAATATTTTTAAATTATTACCTTAGATAAAAATTACATCACAGTAAGCTGCATAAGATCAAATACTTCCTGTTTTATAAAATTAAAATATTTTTACAGCAAAGGCAAATTTGTATTTAGAAGGAGACAAAAAAAGAGATATTCAGTCCCCAAACAGTCGCAGTGGCTAGAGATGAGCTTCCAGGAGCCAGGAGATTCTTCTGGATTTTCCTGATGGATAGAGTCCGATGCCTTAGGCCTTCCTCTGCTGCACATCAGGCCATAAGCAGGGAGTTGTATAGGAAGTGGAGCATGTGGGACACAAACTGGCACTAATATGGCATGTCAGTGCATGCAGGCAGTGGATTATCCAGTTGAGCCACTGTACTGGCCCTCAAACACTTTCTTAAAAATAAATTCAGTTTCAGCTTTCAGCTACCAAAGTAACAAGCTTGTAATACAGATAATACTGATATGATTACAAAAGTGAGAGAAATAATTTACAATGCGTAAACTAACAATACTGATGTTTTCCTTCATTTCAAGTTGTGCTTGATTTTAAAATGTTGTGCATAAAATCACCTTTTCCATCGCAGTTTAGTAGTGAGATTATCACAAGCTTCCCACTTGAATTTTTAAATTTAAGCAACAATGGCATTCTAGTGCTTAAGAATATTTAAAATGTAGGAAAAGTGGAAACACACATGATATTGTTGTGAATAAAATGCTGATAGTGATTATCCGCTTAGGGCCGCACAAGTTCAAGCACTGAGAAATGTGACTAGTACAAAGGCTCTGCTGATGTTTCCAAACCCCATGGAACACGATGTTTTACATTTCTCATTTTAAAATTTTGCATCATGGATTAAGGAGAGTGAAATTTGAGAACTCTGCACACAGTGGGTCTGATTCAAGAGCAATGGAGACAGAGCATATTGCACATTAGTTTTTTCTAAAGGCACAATTTGATGAACATAATTTGGTAGGTTATCACCTCCTCATGAGAGTGATACACAGGTAGGCATGTGATTAGCCCTCAACAGGATTCTATGCTTTTCCAGTGTGTTCTTGATTCTCACCATCTTTAAAACACACTTTTAGGGAGCATATTTGGGCGTCCCCAGATCCAGTTTATGATTCCCTATTGTCCTTCTGTAGTTTTGGTCTCTTACCTCTGCATGGACATCTTTTGTACTTAGCATATTCTCACTGTTGCAGGAGATTAAATTTGTGATGTTATGCCTCTGTGTTTCAGCTGCATCTGCATTAATTTCTGTACCCAAAGAATTGATGGCATATTGCAGTAATTTAATTATTTTAGATACTTTCTTTAGTTATTCCTCTGGAATTTGTCTATGTTATTATTTTAAAAAATATATTTGGATGTATTTAACCATGGTGGAAATTATATTTATCTGCTTGATTTGCCCACTGATTCAATTCCATGTATAAGCATTATCAATAGACTCCCACATATCTGTTCATCCAAACTCCTCATTACTTCAGTGTATGAATATGCCATGTGTCCTAAAATGCTCCTCGTGAAATATGCCAAAACCTACAGATAACGCTTGTCATTAACACATAATGAAAAAATAATATATTTTATCACATATATTCATACACTTAAATCTACATATAAAAAAGCATAACTATATATTCACTCCTAAATTAACACTATGATTTATCACTCTTAATACAAAAACATTCTATGATTAATATTGTAATCAAGGTGGAATATGATGGTTTATATTATCATTTTGGGGCTTAGTCATTCGGTTTAGCTGCTACTTTGGCACTGACATCACATCTGTGTGCAAGCTCATTTTCTGGTTACTTCATGTTCCTGATTCAAATTCCCTATGGTAATGCCTTTGGGAAGCAGCATCTGAGGGATTAAGCACTTGGACTTTATATACACTTGGGAAACCCAAGTAGAGTTCATCATTTCGAGTTTTGGCCAGGTCCAGCCACTAGTTCTGCAGTCATCAGGCGATATAACCATTGGATGGAGCATTTTGTCTTTCTGTCAGTGTTTCTCCTCTCACTCTCTTTCTGTCAGCAAGGGTGGGTGTTTGTGTTTTTTCACTTTTAAATGAATCATTTGAATATAGTTTTCTGTGCAAATTATTCATCGGGTTTGTATAGAAAGTTTCTCACTGTCATTACACTTATTCTATTTTATGAACATGCCATTTTAAGCCCAGGTATTTCAATATTGGTCTTTGATGTTTGCCAACTTAATTGTGGTAATTTCCTCACCATAATCCATTATTACATAAATTTTGAGTGTAATATAAAAGCCAGAATAAAGATGTTGAACATTCTACATAAGTTCTGTCTCCTGGAATTTCACCCTCAACCTCAGTAACCCCATGTTGTTAATTCTTGAAGTGAAAACTGAGCTGTATATTCAGATTGTTGGAAGTGCTTATTTGTTTTAAAGGTGAACTTAATTTCTATTTCTATTATATTCAAATTATGTGTGACCAAACCAAACTTTCTTCCATCTCATTTCTTTCAGATAAGCAGTATTCATTATAGATTTGGTGATTCTTCCATGAGGACACTGTTAGGTAACTTACATGAAAATACAGATACAAAATAAAGTTTGAATTTAAAAAGTCATAAATGATATTTTGAGGCTCACATATTGCTGGGGTCCGTGCAATGGGTGTGGATGGCACGAAGGTGTGAAGAGAACAGCTCCCCTGTTTGGCAGGGCCTGGGGGAGCTTCCAGCTGTTTGGCAGGGCCCGGCGTATTTCTCTCTGACCACCCTGACACTGTTTCACCCCCTGGCTGCATGGACACTCAAGCACCCACCTAAGAATTCTGTATTCTTTTGAGGCATTGTTGTTCGCCCCTGTGAGACAGTTTTTGCAGGTTTTTGCAACCGATGTGAGCTTGAGAGTTAATGTCACTGATAATGTCTTGGTGAGTGGGCCTTTGACAATTTACACACAGGAGCACAATTAAGCCCATGCCATTTTTGGATACCTTATTGTGTGCTAATTATTGCCTCAGAATCTGGCCCAGACATACAGCACACCCTCTGGGAAGGGGCTCGATACATATGTCTTAAATACTAATGCAAGTGATGGGAGTGAGAGCTGAAACTGCTATGGCAATAAATATGGTTATTGTTATCTCAAAGGCTAGCCTGCCTTTGCAATTTTTTGGAGCCTAGAAAATGTAATTGTTTTAGCTGCTTTTATAATTTTTAGCTAGAGGAATTAAGGATGTTTTATTAACACAAAATGCTTTTGATTATTGCTTTATTGTTTATGGGGTTGTAGGAGTCTATGGTTATAGGGAGATTTAACATTTGAAGTTTCTGTTTTAGATTTTAGGTTTTTTTCCCTTGTAACCTCTTTTCCCATTAAATGACGAGTAAATTGTAGAAGTAGAAATGTGGTGGGAAAGTACAACTGATTAGCAGGTGATCTCATGTGCCTTGGAGTCCTGGCTGTTGCTCCATGGCTACTGCTGAAGAATAAACAATAGCTTGCTTTGAAGAATATGAATACAGTATTTTACAAAATTATCTTTAGGAGCACCTGCTTAGCCTTGAAGTGCAGACGGAGTGACCAAATGTCTGTACATGCCCCCTTAATTTTGAAAAGAAAAAAAAATAGAATAGTTGCTTGAGCAGAAGCTTGAGAAGGGTTTTGAGTAAATAAAAAGGACAGTTTTTTCCTGGGCTGTTGTGAGAACACATCAAGTGTCTGTGTCTGTGTCTTTCTTTATTGCCGACTCCACGCACCCTTCCGAGCTCCGAACTCGGCTGGAGCTGGACTCCGGCAACATATAGATAAATGACAGAGAAAACTATCAATATTTAGATTATGAGGATTAAGGCAAATTTTAAGAGCAATTATGTAAATATGTTATTATAACTGTCAATGTTCACTCACCATAATCATATTAATTGTATACTATCATATTAATTGTACATTATCAAGCCCCTCATAGAAAACAAAAAACATTTGATGATATATATGGCGAAATTTGTTTCAACATTTGGTGGACATTCACAAAATGAGAAGGCAAGAGTTAGGGAGAATTAGTCAAATATTGCAATGGTGAAAGAAAATATTGAAACTCTTCTCCATTTTACTGTATGTGATTATTTTATTTTTACTAAATGAATCATAATGTATGAAGTATGCAAATACAAGTTCACACATGTATTAAAATTGATTATATAGATCTATTCCATGTTTGAATATATGATTGAAGTTGAATTAATACATTTCTTCAGATATGTAAATAGTCAATCATTTAGTCAGTTTTATCCTGAATCCATGTTGTGCTGAGTGTGCACATATATGTTTATGGAGCAATCAGTTACCAGGGGTGATAAATCAGTATTTTTGCTAACCATATCAAACCTTTGAATTCAGTTCACCAACAATTTAGTCAACTGTGGAATGTGTGCTTTGTCAACTCATTTGTGTCAGGTGGTTGCAGAGGAATTCGTTTTTTCTGCTGGTTATTTCTGAGTGTGTATTACTTATATATGTGTGTGTTGGTGTGTGTTTTCAAAACATACCACAGAAAGTTTAGATATGGGAAATTAAAAATAAGATTATTTTTGCAGAATTACTTTGATATCGCCAAATAGAGGAGACTTACAATGGTTCAAATCAGAGAAAACACATTTGTTGTAAAAAAAAAAAAAAAAAGCTAGTGCAGAAGACTTACATCCAGGAAACACTGTTCAGCATTCAGACCTCATTATAAATCTGTTGGCAAAAAAAAAAAAAAGTGACGATTTTCATGACAAAAATGTATGTCGTTTGTTTTGTAGGTATTTGAAATGTTTTCAGCATGCTGAGGTGAATAAAGTCTCCACTTATGTTATCATTTAAAATTGTTTATTTTTTCCAAGCTGGCATTGGAATCTTAGCCAATGTGTTCCTCCTTGGCTTCCACATCATCACATTCCACCAGGTCCATAGGCCAAGGCCCATTGATATAACCACCTGTAAACTGGCTTTTGTCCACCTAGTGATGCTATTTGCTACTATGAATATTTTATCCACAGACATGATGAACTCACTGAATTTTCCAAATGAATTAAAATGTAAGCTTGTGCTCTACATAATTAGAGTGACTAGGGAACTCTCCATCTCCACCACCTGTCTCCTGAGCATTGTTCAGGTCATCACCATCAGTCCCAGCTCCTTCTACTTGTCAAGATTTAAACATAAGCTCACAAATTATATTATCATTGCTTTCCTCTGTCTTTGGAGCCTCAATTTGTCTTCCAATAGCTACATGATTATCTATACAGTAGTTCATTCCAATAGAAGCAATCTACTCAATGTCAATAAGTACTGCTCACTTTCCTCAATGAACTCCATCATCATGGTGCTATTTCTCACACTTTCTCTGTTCCAGAAAGCATTCTTCATAGGAATGATGCTGCTGTGCAGCATGTACATGGTGGTTTTCTTATGTAGCCATCAGAGGAAGTCCGAGTACCTTCACAGCATGAGCATTTCCCCAAGAATCTCACCAGCCAAAAGGGCCACCCATACTGTCCTACTGCTCATGAGTATCTTTGTGATTATGTACTGTGTGGATATTACCATTTCATCTGTATCAACTGCTTTGTGGAAATATGATCCAGTTATCTTGGGTATTCAGAGTCTTGTGGAAAATGTCTATGCCACTGTCAGTCCTTTGGTGTTTATTAGTTCTGATAAAAGAATAATTGGCCTTCTGCAGAATGTGATTGATATGTTAAAATCTCAACAAATTGATGCATAGATCTGAACATGTTATTTATCTCATCAATTGATAATAAAAATTCAACATATTTAATCTAACATAAACATATAGTGTTTTAACCCTGTATCTTAATTCTTTCATGGTAAATTGACTCTACCAAAGTGTATATGCCTCTCTTATTTTACAGTTATCCACGTAATGAAATTTCTGCTCCTTACATTTTCCTCATAGTATGAAGGAAACTTCTTTTCATTGTGTTCTTCTTAATCTCATTTTAATATCCAATCCCTAGGTCTTTGCAGGTGAGAAAGTGTGTAAATCTTACACCTGTATGAACAAATTGGGTGATATTTATTCATCTTATGTGAAATAAATAATTTTGCATTTTTTATTCAAATTATGAAATAAGTAAGCATGTATCCATACTGATAAACATATTATATGCTAGATAAATCATGAAGCGGTAAGGGCCATCTTGCTTTGCACAGAAAATGATTTATTTATACTCTCCCACTCATGGAAATAAAGCATAATTCTCTACTTCCTAAGTGTAACTATGCATAGAAAGTTAAAAGGAATGAGAAACTTCACCTGTTGTAAAACATGACAAACAACTTCTTTCCTATAATATAGGAAAGGTAAAATCTATGTCAATTTGATAGCATTTACTTTAAATATGATGTTATGATATTGTACCCTAGTTATGTATCTCCCCAAATCCCAGGACTTCAGTTTTTATATGGAAAAAAAATTAAATGTCTAGTTGATATTCAACTGCAAAATTATTGATCAGTATTTCTGAAATTTGTAACGTGTGAGAGCAAGATAGTTAAATAGATTGCCAGAGATTCATGTACTGTCCCAAAGGAAAAAAAAAACATATTAAGAATAAGTTGGATTGTGGAGCATGTGCCCAAGAATGAACAACCACCCAATGTGAGGCCATTAAAATAGAGGAGAATCAAGATGGTGGGATAGGGTAAGGACACGTTAAGCAGAGAGAATCAATAGCTAGAGTGAAGCAGGGAGGGCACATTCCAGGAAATAGGAGAGGGCAGGCCGATGGGATAAGGGCACCTGAACACTAAAGGACATGGGAAAGCAGTGGAGATAACAGTGTGGTGTTGTAACGACGAGTTACCCCAGTGGCAGTCAGCAAGCAGCAAACTGAGCTCTAGCAACAGCCAGCGCTCCATCTACATCCAGGTGGAAGAGGAGGTCACCAGGAGCTCAGGAGGTGATCCCAGACAAAGAACTGCCCATCCTGCTGATTTATTTGATTATACCAGGAGCAGAGATGGAGCAAGATATTCCATAGAGGTGTGTGGGAACTGGGTGGATTTCACCCCAGACACCTACCAGAAACATATTGGGTACCATTATGTATTAGGAGGCAAAGACCCTGGGACGGATCTAAGCATTTGCTGAGCTTGGAGCACTCGCTGAGCTTGGAGCATTCTGGCTAAGTGCATTGCACTGGGGTGGCATCCTACAGGCTCCACTCAAAATAGGTCCATGTACGCCTCATACCTAATGGCCAGCAGATCCAAAACTCCACCAGTGGCACATCAGATACCATTAGATACAGTGGGAGAAAGTCTTTGTAATGTGCTGAGCTCACTTCCAGCTCAGTTTATTGTCTGGTCCCACAGGGAGAAAGAATACCAACTCTGGCATCTTTCAGTTCAAAAGAGGTCTGGATGACCCTCAGTGCTGATGGTCAGTGCATTACAGTGAGAACAGTACCACCAGCTGCCTAGTTATTTGGGACACTTGGAATCTCCCTAATGCTGGCAACTTCTCGAACCAGAAGTATGAGAAAGGTAGTGCCCCACCCAGTCTCCCACCCACCCTAGGTTCCAGATGTGGGGCATGCTCCAAGGGTCTTGCTCAAGTAGTTTTGATAATTCAACAGTTCTGAATTACTGCCACTCTCACCACTCCAAGCACGATGTGGTTGTTGGAGATTCCACTGATCGGCATAGTCCAGAATAGCATCTCCATTTGCCCAGTATTTTCATTGCCAACATATAGCTGAGGTAGTTGACTGACTTGTTCTGTCCTCTGTCATTTGATGGTTAGTGTTCTGAGTCCGAAAGCTCGATTGGGGGGGATCCCCAAAGAAAATTTGTCTGAGGTGTTCCCAGACTAGATTCTTGTATGTGCTAGCAAGCACAGGGCCCAGTACAGTGCATTTCCCCGAAGAGCTGATGGTTGCAGTTGCTGGGTTGGTTCTGTTTCCATCCCTGTCTTCCTCTGGAACCAATGAGTGTTTGCAGTCCAGCCTGGTTTGCCCAGTGCATACTCAGCCCTCACATAAACCAGTGGGAGCTTCAGCCTAGCCAAAGCGATCCACATTAACCCCAACCAGGCCCGTCCCCTACCCTGGCTTGCCTGTATGTGCAGCAGACTAGTCCAGTCTGTCCCTCATTCCCTTCTGCTCTCATACATGTCAATAGGTATTAAAACCTTGTTCCATTTAACCAGCTTAATTATCCAGCCTTCACAGTTGTTGTTGGGTGTCTGTCTAGCTATCCCAGCCCCTGTCCTAATTTTTGTGCCCTCCCATGTGAGGTGGCAACCCAAGAGGGAAGAGCCCACCATTTCCCTCCCAAGTCTCTCCCACTCCCAAATTATGCATCTCCAAGTAGTTCTGATGTTTGACTTGACAGAACTATCCCCCAGTGCCAGCTTCTGCCAGCTGATGTTGTGGCTAAGCCCAAACAACCCTCACCCACTTTAATTGTAGATTGCATGAGTAGGAATAATCAGCCCAGCCTGGCTTTTCCCTGATCTAGTCCACATGAGGCACACAGGTGCTGTAGCCCTGCCTAGTCTGGTCTACCCCCATCCCAGCTCACGCTCTCCAGTGGAAGTAGCTCCCAACTGTGATCTTTCTGATTATACTAACATGGAGCTAAGATCTATTTAGGGATCCAGGGTTGTGTATACATTTTCTGGTATAAATTTTTTACAATGATTCTCTGAAATGGCAAAGCTATGAGGTTTCATTACCTAATGAAACCCAAAGTAACCCAAAAAAAGGCATATTTTTATCCCTTCAGCATTGGAATTATAATAATGGTGGTTATAAAGTTGAGTATCAGAGGTTGTTAGGTTGGATAGTGTTGGAACATAGAACTGAAAATTTTGATTGAAGGACAAAATATTTCAATAGTACTAATAGCATACATTTTAGTGGATCATTGCACTTAAGAGTAATCACTCCTAACAGCGTAGGAGAACTCATTGTGGGATTGTTTGTTTCTTTGTTTGATTTGCTTTGTTTGGTGGAGGTATGAGTTTTGGCCTTATGGTGAGGTCCATATGGAAATACCAGCATCCCAAATTCAAAATGCCTGTAATCCAATCATATTATTCTGAGTTCTGCTTCTAGCTAATATAATCACTGGAGTGAAGCAGCCTAGATATCTAGTAGTTAGGTCCTTGCCACACATGCAAAACATTTGGATTATGTTCCTGGGTCACAGTCCATCCTGCCTCAGGGTCAGCCATTTCAGACTCGTGGAGGGGCACAGTAGATGGAAGCTCTGTACCTTTCCCTGAGTGTCTCTGCTTCTCAAATGCATACGTACATATAAGCATACATGTATTGTATCCTACATATCTTTATAGAATTGTATTTCAGAAAACAATACACTAGATAGTGAGTGATAATGATAATAAATTTCAATAAATTATTCTATAATAAACACATGAATTAAATTAATTTAATGAAATTACACAATTATTATTAATAAAAATTAACTTATAAAATGCAAAATAATAACAGTAAGTCCTTTAGAAAATCTTAAATACCAAGGGAAATTTTCAAATATGTATCATGCTCTAAAAAGTATTATCATAAAATTAAATTATAATAATATTAAATAGAAAATATATAAAAGTAGTCCAGCACATACATTAGTTGCATCACAATCAATAAGGAACGTTTTACTGCATTCAAGTTAAGTTTTACTCCTTGTTTCACATTATATCATTCTGAGGTTTCCTGTACTCAGAGACAACTCTGTCAGGATTAGTGAGAGCAGGTGTAATATGGGATAGTACGCAGCTCTACAATACCTAGTATGTCAGCTTCCAGAGCAATCACCATCACAGATCAGTAACATTCCTATTTGACTGGAAAATTTGGACCTTAACAACTCAGATGGGTAACTGCTTCAGACTTGATCAAAGAACATACATGGAAGTTTCACCAGAATGTAACCCAGTCTGACTAGTTTTATGCAAATGTGCATATCCGTTTTTAAGAATAAAAATATCAGTTCAAAACCAGGTGGTATTGGATTTGTAAATGAGATCAAAGATTATAGTAGTTCTCATTGGGATAATGATTCCCCTTAAAGTAGCTGGTGTGTATTGCTGGTAGAGTCTATATCTTGACTTGTGAATATGTGGGGGAAGAAAAAAAAGGAATGCGAGTGAAAATGCTAGAAAGAGATCACAGAGCACAAGTGACTGGATGTGGCATATCCAACACGTTTTCTTGACCTTGGTGCTCTGTACTGCTGACTTGGAGCATGCCCTTTCTCACCCCAAGAAATATCACTTTTCCAAAGTAGGATTGCGGAAGGGGACAGTTTCCTGATTTCAGGTGCTGGGTTGTTTCACTGAGATGGTGACACCACAGATAAACCAGCAGGGATGCCACCGTGAGTCTCCTGGAGCAGTGGGCATAGCTTGACAAACCAGCTGTGGCTTGTACTTGTCATGAAGCTCTGCTTATTTATGACTTTTGTCTGTTGACACTGACTGAGAGAAGACAACCTGCCCAGGCAGGCCTGCTCTGGAGAAATTAGTCCACAACTAGGAGTGGAACCCAGCTGTTTTCCTCTGCTGTCTTCTATAAACAAGTTAAGTTTATTTATTTATTTTTTTTTCCTGGAGTGGCTCTTATTCTAAGGATGCCAAGGCCAGTTCTGTCCTGCTTCTACAGATGAAATGACAGTTGTGGGCCGGAAGGGAGATCAGATGATGCAATCCCTTCCCTATAAATACACCTTGAGATTCATTTA